GATGTTCCTCTGGGCTTTAAGGGCATGAGTCTTATGGTGCAAGCTTCAATCCGCAGAGTGAGTCAGCCGCCGCCCGAGAACGAGCACAACACAAGTGTGGCCCTCGATCTGCCGCCACGTCATGTGCGAGCTATGTTTACTGCAACGCTGAGTGAGCAAGCAGAGAAACTTCAGTTTGGTTGGCAAATCGGATCCACAGGCCACATCATCTGGAGAGGAAAGTCCTCTATCATGATTGATCCTTCTTTGGTTGTGGTGAGTGATTGGCCTTACAGGACAACCATCATGCGCAGGTCAGATGATGAAGACTGGCTGGTGGCTGAGACCTGTGTGAAGTGGGCGGATCTTGCTGATATTGAAGGCCCGATTCCCGGAGGAGGAGAAGCAGAGCTGATTGTGGTTTTGCATCCGAAGCTTGAGCAGCTCAGTGATGTGGGCATCCAGTGCTCAAATGAGGCATCTGCCTCTGTCGATATGCAGGTTGAGCCGCCCGCCTTGCACGAGGATGATGAAGCTGGCGGGATAGGTGATGTCCTGTTCGATCAAGAGCCGGGTGGAGCTGAAGCAGATGAGGTTGTGCCGCAGGATCCCGAAGCGGCAGCAGTTCTTCCTGACATGGAGGAGCCAGAACAGCTACCTCCTCCACCGGCCATCGAGGACAAGCTTGTGCTGGACGGTGTGGAGCTTACCGCACAAAGTACGATTGCTGCCTTGGCGAGTGCATGCGACAGACTTGGCTTGCGTCATTCCGGTAGCAAGCGCCGCCTCTATGAGCGCATCAAGGGGTACTTGCAGAAGCAGCATCACTTCACGCGTGCGTGTCGATGTTTTATAGATCCTAGGTCAAACGAAATTTTGTAAGCAACAAAATTTTGGGCCATGACAATCTTTGCGCTACTCTTAGTAGTGCTTCACAATCCAGACTTTTAACAACTTTCAATGCTGTTGCATGATTTCGTTTCTCATGTCGAGTAACGATTTTTAAACCATGCGGTTAAACGCACACTTGTTCATGATTGAATCTGCAATCATCGAGGCTGTCTCGAGATCGAGCCAGAATTTTTGATTTGAGGGCTCTCTAGAGGCTTGTAATTTCGTCTAACAGGCCTGAGCCCTCCGTAACTCGGTGTTGCTCTTAGAGCACCGTGCAAGAGCCCCGCCGGGGGCTCGGATGGATCCGAGCTCGACCCTTGCGGCCGAGTCGTCTTCCAGCGACACTCAAGAGGCCATTTCGGCCCACCTGCACGCAGTTCAGCTTCAAGTTAATTCCCTTGAACAGCAGCTTGCCTTGCTGCGATCAGAACTGCAGGAAGTTCGCCAACAGCTTGTGAATCTTGAGGCCGAAAGATACCAGCACTCCCTTCGCTTGGGGTGGCTGGAGCAACTTGTGCAGCGCGTTTCACGCGCTTTCCGCTTTCAGTGATTGTGCCTGCACTGGGGTACTTCGGGGCTGTAGTAGAATGGGGGATGATGAGAACAGCTCCCTTCCTTCGAGTTACGGGCTTCACCTGAGGTCGTGCCTGCGAGACTCGAGGTCTATTTGGAAGACCCCTTGGAACAATGCACTCGTAGCTTTTGACCCTAAGCCCCGCTTGCCGCCTCCTCTTGGACCTCTCCCCCTTGTAGTCCCTATGGACCCTTCTGCCGATCAGCCTGCCGTGCCGAACCCTCGCTTCGTCAGGTCGGAAGGGCTTGAGCAAGTGTGTGCTAAAATGGCCAAGTTCAAACATACTTCTTGGGAGGTTATGATCAATGAGGAGAGAAATCTTGCCGTGAATAAGTGGCTCAGCCTTGTCATGGTCGAGCCCTTGACCTTCGGTGTAGCTAGGAACTTCTACGCCGGCAAAGCGTCAGGGATCTCTTCAGGATCGCTTGCAGACAGCATTTCGGATTGCCTTGCTGCCAAGGCTACTTCGACGATCAATGCCAGGGCGAATTGCTTGTTGCGGTTTGTTTCTTGGGCAAAGGGGAACATGCCGTTTGTTTTTCCCTTGACCGAGCATGCTGTCTACGCATACTTCGAGGAGAAGAAATCCACAGCAGCGGCAACTTCGTTCAGGAGCCTTCTCTCTTCGGTTGCTTTCGCTCAGCATGTGGTAGGCCTGGAAGGGTGTGACAAGGTTTACACTTCGGGTCGTGTCCGCGGCCTTGCGTCTAAGCTTTACATGCAGAAGAGGAAGCTCAAGCAACGGAATCCTCTGAGGGTCTCCGATGTCATTCTTCTTGAAAGGATTTGTTGCAAGCTTGAAGACAGGTCTTTGCAGGACCGTGTCGCTGCAGGCTTCTTTCTCTTCTTGATTTATGCAAGAGCACGATACAGTGACGGGCAAAACGTGGCATCGCTGACTGTTTCGCCGCTCTACTTGGAGTGCAGTGTGGGCAGGTCCAAGACTAGTTTCACTTTGGAACGCAAGACCAGGTACTTGCCAATGGCTGCCAGGAAAGTGGGCATCAAGTGTGCATGGGCCGATGCGTGGCTTGACGCTTTGGCAGAGGCGGGTCTTGCGATCAAGCCGAACGACCCGTTGCTTCCCTGCCCTTCTTCGAATGGTTCGTGGAAGATGATCCCGCTTCCGTGCGATCAGGCTTGCTCGTGGCTCAGGAGCCTGCTAGGGAACGCTCAGAGCGATCCCTACCTTGCAAATGTGGGGACACATAGCCTTAAGAGGACTCTGCTGAGTTGGGCAAGCAAGCGTGGCCTGCCCCGAGAACAGAGGGCCCTCCTGGGGTATCACACGTCCCGAGCCTCAGGTGCGGGGTCAGAGCTGATCTATGAGTCCGACGCCCAGTCGGCTCCGCTCAGGGCTTTGTCAACTATGATCGACGAGGTGTCATCGGGGGCCTTCAAGCCCGACAAACCAAGGGGGCAGCAGCTTGCTTCCGAGCTGTCGGCGCATGCCGATCCCCCTGGCGACGAGATCGAGTCATCAGACTCGGAGGGCTCCGAGGACGAGGAGGAGATCGACCACTCGGGCGATGAAGCTTGTGTTGCCGAGGCTTTGGACTGGCATGGGAAGGTCGACCTTGACAAGATTGATCCCTCGTGTGTTTTCTTTCGGCATCGCCAATCCAGGGTAGTGCACATCACTGCCGACGAAGCCGGTGCCAACCTAGGCTGCGGTAGGACCATTTCGGGTCAGTACAGGAAGCTGGAGGCGCGACCCGCAGTTTTGCATCCAAGGTGCAAGCAGTGCTTCAGGAGATACCTGGTTGTGCAGCAGGGCACATGACTCTGCATTCGGCTCGTGCCTGCAATTTTTGTGCAAAAGGGTGATGTCGTGCACGTGCGCTCCGCAAGCCGGTCAAGTGTTGACATTTGTGCTATCGTGCAAGAGCAGCGATCTGCTGGATGTCGTGTCCTGCAAGATGAGCGATTTGATGAAGAGCAAAGCCCTCCTGCAGCTGCTTTTAGCTCGTAGGGGTCCAAGCATCGCACCATGGCGGCCTTCTCCGAGTCGGGGCCAGTGTTCAAATCACGATGTGCCCAGGTCGGTTTGGCATCTGCGGATGTCGAAAAACTCGAGAAGGTGGGTGTGGATTCACTCGCAAAGGTCGCTTTCATGACGAGCTACACGCCGGGCTCTGGCGATGACAAGGACCTCATTGCGGCGTTCGAGTCGGCCCTCGGGACGCCGCCCTCTGTAGGGCAGAAAAGCTCCTTCCGAAGGTTATTTCATGAAGCATATGCTGTTACCACTTCGGAAATGAAGATGCTTGTGGAGCGGACGGATGAATCCATCCCAAGAAAATTGAGCGTCCCGGAGAGATCTGAGAGGTTCGAGGTAGTGAGCAAACGCCTTGTGGGCCTTTCGATCAAGAACCGTCTTGAGCCTGCCGATAGCCTCGTCGACTCCTTCGTGTCCCAGTATGAACAGGACAAGCTGCAGTTTGTCCCGTGGGAGAAGCTTGTTTCCAAAGAACAAGAGGCCTCGACAGGGGCAAAGCGAGAGCCTTTCTTCTCGCTGGACAGTACGGGCAAGCTCAGGTCGGAGACAAAAGTTGAGGTCCGTGCCGATACGAGCACGGAGCTGCTCTTGCAGCTCGCGCTTCAAAGGCGCGGCATCGCTATGGAGATGGCGAACATCCTTGACTACCATCGTCACCACATGTGGGTTGAGCGCCTTCTTGCGGCGCGCCTCGACGCACCTCCGTCGACGCACATGCAGCCCACGCTTGATCAGTGTCAGCAGGCTGACAGGAAGCTTTGGCAGCTTCTCGGAGAAGCGACTCGCTCTGGCATCCAGCTCAAAGCTGGGGGGCGTCCATTGGACGCCATCTTCGAGGACACATGGCAGTCACCAGAGGTCCTTCATTTGCTTCAGCCCATGCCTCGGGCAGCAGGCGCTTCAGTCACGCAGCAGGTGGCACCGCCGCCGAGGCCGCACGGGCCGGGCCCGTATGATCGCCCAGGCAAAGGCCGAAAGGGCACAGGGAAGGGTGCCAAGGGCACCAAAGGATCCGGAAAGGTTCCCGCCGCTCTGGCGGGCTGCAGATCATGCACCAATGCTGGTGAAAACATATGTTTTGGGTATGGACTCAAAACGTGCAGGGAAACCGTGACTCGCGGTCGATGCGTGCGTGGCCTGCACATTTGCGCATGGCCCAAGTGCGGCAAGTCGCACCCTGCATTGGACTGTCCGCTGCGTGCTGAGGCTCTAGGCCAAAAGCAGGAGTGACAGTCGGAAAGCGAGCCCTGCAGCTCGCAGCGCTCGACTCAGAGTCGGGATTGCCCAGGCTTGGCTGGGCACAGTTTTGCATCGCCGCAGGCCTTCCCTGCGCCGACAGATTCTCCTTTAGTGCATCTTGATCCGTGTCAGCAGAGTGCTAGTGTGGATACAAGAAAATTTTCTTCACTTTTGCAATTGCTTCAGCATGCTGCGTGGCCAAAGTCTGTGTTGCAACGTAAGTCTGTTTCGTCCGTGAACTCCGCGCAGTCGGGGTATTACAACTTTGGGCCCAGGGCCAGCAATCCGCAACATTTGACACATTCCACCCTTGCCATGCAGGACTTCGTATTGCGCCTGAACTCAGTTTTCAAGGAGCTTCTGCCTCAAGCTTCCTGGAATGCAATCTGCGTGGGCAGGAATACTTTGTCAGATTTCCACAGGGACTCAGGGAACCAAACAGGTTCGCTGAACCACACTTTCACGCTTGGCACCTTCACTGGCGGCCAGCTTTGGCTCGAAGATGCGTCGGGCACTTCTCAGGCCACTGTCGCAGGCGACAATCACATCAGGGGTAAAATCGTAGACACGTTTTGTTGCCCCACTAGTTTCCCGTGCAACTTGTGGCATAAGACGATGCCCTTCACAGGTGAGAGGTGGGTCGTCACACTCTACACTCTTTCAGGTGGGCAACCCGCCACGTTGCTCCCATTGGGTTTTCCGTGTGATCCTGCTGCCGCGGCGCAACAGCTCCCTCCGCCTCTTCAGCCTGTTTTGCCGTTGGAGTGTGCACCTTCCGGGTCTAGCCCTTCTGCCCCCGCTCCTTTGGGTTCTAGTCCCGCCTCACCCGCCGACCCTCCTTGCAAACGCTTGAAATCGCAAGCTCAAGCCGAGCCGACTCCCATACATGAGAAACCGCTGTTTCTGGAAATCTGTAGTGGGTCTGCTATGCTGTCTTATGTTGCCAAAGAGGCCGGATACACAGCCGTGCCCATCGACTGGCATCACAACAAACAGCGGGCGTGTGTGCACACCTTACAGCTCGACTTGCGGCTGGCCAGCACTTGGTCTTTCTTGCGACGCATTTGCTCCGAGTACGATGTTGCTTGGGTGCACATGGCTCCTCCATGCGGCACCGCTAGCCGGGCTCGGGAGTGCGGTCCCGGCCCTAAGCCATTGCGTTCGGTCCGTCATGTGCGCGGCCTGCCCGGCCTCCCACCAGTGGAGCAGGCGAGAGTGGACAGTGCAAACACCATTTATGATAGCATGGCCGCCTTCTGTGACTGGCTGCTGCATGCCATGCCGCATGTTCCCTTCTCCGTTGAAAACCCTCTTCACAGTTACCTGTGGCAGCTCCCGAGGTGGGCCGAGCTGCTCGCCAAGCACTCCTTCGTCACATTCGACTCGTGCCGCCACGGGTCACAACGCAAGAAGGCCACCGCCCTCCTCACAAATTCGGAGCTTCTGCACTGCCTTTCGGGACCATGCCCGGGATGCTCCTCGCACTTGCCGTGGGGTAAGCTGGGCAATACTTTTGCGACAGCTGAGGAGACGGGCTATCCCAAACTTCTTTGCGAAAGGATTGTCTCATGCGTGGATAAGTCAGCTGCATCACGAGGGATTGCGCCTGAACGCCTAGTGGCCTCCAAGGTTTCTGCTGCGCGTGCCGCAGGTCAGGTGCAACCTCGTGGCCGCAAGTTTCCGCCAATCATTTCTGAATTTGCTTACACTATGTCAGTCGCCAGTGCTGCGGCTCCCACTCTCAACTCCAAGCAGTGCCTTTCGGCTTCTTGGCACGGCGTCCCTGCAGGCGCCAAGCTCCTCCGGGAGTCAGTTGAAAGGGGAGGTTCGCGACTCCCAGAGGGGAACAAGTTCTACACTTTTGGCGTCTATCGATCCATGCAAGCTTTCTTGAACGAGGCAAAGTTGGTTGTGCACCCCTTCGATTCTGCCAAATCACTTCCAGATGAACTGTTGCGAGTCTTGTTTGACACTCTTACGAAGAGCCCGGTTGACACCATGAAGCACCGTCTTTTGAAGCTACAACAGTGGCGAGCCCTCGCCAGGCAGCTTGATCCCGAAGAAGAGAAAATCAGATCGGCGATGGACCCTTGTGTGCGGAAGGTCCTTAGTTGTAAGCGCATCGCACTCATGAAGAGGATCGCCGCCGACTTGTCGTGGCCTGACACGGCCCTCTTCGATGACCTGGCTGCCGGCTTTAAGCTAACGGGATACTTGGGGCGTACGGGTGTATTCGCTAGTGATGTCAAACCTGCCACGATGGACCTTGACGATTTCTGGGCAAGTGCTCCCCTCCGGAGGGAAACCCTGCTTGAAAAAGTCAGAGCCCAGAAGGACCATGACTATGCCGAAGAGCTTTGGGACATGACGCTTGAGGAGTCTAACAGATCGGGGAAGTGCTGGCTTGACGGCCCGATCGACGTTGACTCTTTGGGGGACAAGTTCCCTGAAGGCTGGAACGCCTGCCGGCGTTTTGCAGTCTGGCAGGGCAAGTGGCGTGCGATCGATGACTTCTCGGAAGCCGCTGTGAACTCTTGTTTCGGATGCTTTGAACGTGTTACTCTCAAGGCCCTCGATGAGATTTGCTGGCTGTGCATGCAAGTTTGCCGTGCGGCAAAATCTTCAGGATCCCTCGATCTTGAGCTCAGCACCGGTGAGAGACTCAAGGGACCCCTCCATACGGCTTGGAAGGACCCTGGCCGTGTCCGTCCTCACTGCAAAACTTACGATCTTCAAGCTGCCTACAAGCAGCTCGCACTGCACCCTAGCGAGAGGCCGAAATCCGTTATCCTGCTCAGGGAGCCGGGCTCCCGCGCCGTCAAGGCCTTTGTGTGCAACACTCTTCCTTTCGGAGCTTCAGCCTCGGTCATGCAGTTTAACAGGGTTGCATTATTCCTGCAGAGGGTTCTTTGGGATTTGAGGGTGGCCGTAACTTGCTACTATGACGATTTCCCGACAATGACCCCTTCGTTCTTGTCTGGCGGGACTGACAATGCAGTTCATGCCCTCATGGACCTGTTTGGCTTCTCCTTGTCCGAGAAAGAAAAGCCGTTCTCGTGCACTGCAGAAACGCTGGGTGTCGTGCTGGATACCTCCGATCCTGACATGGGCCGCATCTTCGTATCGAACAAGCCCGAACGAGCTGCCATGCTTGAACAGTCCTTGGGCCGCATCCTTGAAAAGGGCCAGGTAGACACGCGGGAGCTGCCATCCCTTCTTGGAAAGCTTCGCTTCGCAGATGCTCAGCTGCTTGGTCGCACAGGGCGATTGGCCCTGGCCGACCTTAGGCTCTTCGGTGACAGAGGGGGTGTCTTGAACCTTACGGATACTCAATCGAATGCCTTGGCTGTTCTGAGGGCAAGACTTCTTGCGAGCAGGCCGCGTGCCATTGTGACCAGCCCTGCCTCGAACCCAGTCCTCATCTTCACAGATGGCGCATGCGACCCTTGCGAGGGCGGCTTCAGTACTGGGGTCGGGGGGGTTCTCTTTGTCCCCGGCAAGGGTGTTGCTAGGGCTTTCGGTTGTAGGGTTCCTAGCAAGCTCGTCAAGCAATGGGCCGAGGGTAGGAAACACATTATAGGGCAGGTCGAGCTTTACGCGGTCGTGCTTGCCAGGATCCTGTGGTCGAGTTACATTGATGGCGAACGATGCATATTTTTCGTCGACCATTCCGGCGTCTTGAGTGCTTGCATCAACTCGAACTCGATCGATGCATCTTGGAGGAGTCTCCTTCTTCACTTGGAGGCCGCCGATGAAGCACGCCCGTGCTTGCCGTGGTTTCATCGTGTACCGAGCCAGAGCAACATCGCGGATCCGCCATCCCGAGGCAGATGGGAGGAGCTGGCATTCCTTGGTCCCGTCACTCGTGACGTGCCGACTTGCTTTGTCACAGGCGCCACTCTTGAAGCAACGTAACGCATAGTCGAGAGGGGGAAGAATATGGTCACGTTGCACTCCATCGTGCGACTGGACTCTGGGGGGCACTCGTGTGCCCCTGCTTAAGTGGAGGGGCACTCTTAGTGCCCGGTGCACGCCCTGTGCACCTTCGTTTTCCTTGAAAACTTCCCACGACTCTCGGCTGTGCCGTGAAAAGAAGAGTGAGCGTCTTTGCATCAATTTCATATCCTTTTGTATATATTTGGGTCGACCAATATATTTGGTCAACAATTCTTTATATGATGGAATCTGCAATATTTGATCAAGACTCTTATACTTGATTCAAATATGTGATTGTCATGGATGACCGGATCTATAAGCATCACTTCACGCGTGCGTGTCGATGTTTTATAGATCCTAGGTCAAACGAAATTTTGTAAGCAACAAAATTTTGGGCCATGACAATCTTTGCGCTACTCTTAGTAGTGCTTCACAATCCAGACTTTTAACAACTTTCAATGCTGTTGCATGATTTCGTTTCTCATGTCGAGTAACGATTTTTAAACCATGCGGTTAAACGCACACTTGTTCATGATTGAATCTGCAATCATCGAGGCTGTCTCGAGATCGAGCCAGAATTTTTGATCCCACCCAACCCGCCCTGGGGGGGAAGAATATGGTCACGTTGCACTCCATCGTGCGACTGGACTCTGGGGGGCACTCGTGTGCCCCTGCTTAAGTGGAGGGGCACTCTTAGTGCCCGGTGCACGCCCTGTGCACCTTCGTTTTCCTTGAAAACTTCCCACGACTCTCGGCTGTGCCGTGAAAAGAAGAGTGAGCGTCTTTGCATCAATTTCATATCCTTTTGTATATATTTGGGTCGACCAATATATTTGGTCAACAATTCTTTATATGATGGAATCTGCAATATTTGATCAAGACTCTTATACTTGATTCAAATATGTGATTGTCATGGATGACCGGATCTATAAACAGCTTTCTTTGTCTGCTGATATGACTCGTGATGCAGTTGCAAATGCCTCGCGAACTCCTTCTATGCAGTCCATACCGACACCGCCTTCGAGAGCTGAGCAGCTGCTACACGAGCTGACCCACGAGCCGTACGCGGCTTGGTGCCCCAGTTGCATAGCAATGCGAGCGCTTCCGGACCGAAGCGAGCGGACTGTTGATGCTCCGAGGGACATTCCTCGAGTGTCGTTTGATTTCATGTACACTGGTTATGACGAAAGCCAGAATGAAGCCGTGCACAAGCCTGTTGTGGAAGGAGATGATCCCAAAGATCTGCTGTGTTGCTTGGTGTGCCATGATCAGGCAACATCCTCCATAGCATGTATACCGTGCCCCGGGAAGAGTGCTACGAGATACCTCGGTGTGGAGGTGATGCGTTTCGTGCAGAGCCTAGGGCATCCAACAGTTGAGATTTTCTGTGACAATGAGCCGACGACCATTCGGCTGCAGGATGCTATCTGTGTTGCTAGAAGCCGGTTGGGCCTGAAGACTCTGAAGAAGAACCCTCCGATTGGGAATCATCAGAGCAATGGCGCTGTGGAGCGCACAGTGGATTTGGTCAGACGACTGGCTTGCACACTGTTGGATGTGGTGCGTCGCAAAACTGGTTGTTCGATCACAGTGAAGCACCCTCTGTTTGCATGGAGTTTCAACCACGCGGCATGGATTCGAAACCACTTCGCCGTTCAAGGCGGATTGACGCCTTATGAAAGATGCTATTCCACGGCCTACAAAGGAAAGCTTGTGCCTTTCGGAGAACCTGTCTTCGGGCAGATCGTGCCTAAGCGGAAAGGCAATGCAAAGTGGCTGAAGGCCGTCTTTGTCGGCAAAACGCGCAGCAATGATCAATACCTCATTGCAAGCAGGTCCGGCATCCGAACATGCCGGAGTGTGCGTCGCACTGGCCATGAGTGGAGCCAAGACCAAGAGCTGTTCAACAATCTGTCAGGACAGCCTTGGGATTACAGTTCCGGCGTCTATGAGACGCGGCTGGTGCCACCGGCAAAGACCGGACCCGCCAACTCCTGTGCCTTTAGGGTTTAGGCCCCCTGAGAGTGTTGGCTTAGGTTCTAGTGCCGCCACGCCTGCTGCCATGCTTCCTCCCACGCCTGTGGGACCAGGATCGAGCCAAGATGCGCCGGGGCCCGCTGAGGTTCCGAGCAAGCGAGCTAAGTTGCACTTGTCACGGCCTCCGCCTGAGAGTGCAAGAGTTGCTGATGCACCAGTGTTGCCACATGCCGCACCTGGTGTACCGAACCCTTCTTTGAGTATTCCTTTGGGACCTCAAACCCCTGAGTCTGTTCTTGAACCAATGCCTGAGCAGCCTGATGCTGCTATGTTGCCTGCCGAGACGGCAGCAGTGGAAGAGCGAGCCTCCAAGATGCCAAGAATTCGTACAGTTACTTTTGGTGATCGCAGTTATGATCTCAACGATGAAGGCTATGATGCTGACTTTGCGGAATGGGAACCCCGAGACCTTCCTTCAGATGTCTGATCAATGGTCGGACGACGAGGGCGCCAATCCGGCGCATGCAGAACCCGACTCGGCTTCCTTGAACGAGGCGGGGCAGCCACTTGAAGATTCGTTGTGGTTTAAGGACATGGGCCATGAACCTGTTCTTACTCCTGATGAGTTGTATGCCTTGGACAGGATTGCAGATGAAGTAGAAGTGAGCCGCTTGATCAGGAAAGAGGTTCTTCGGCCGGTCTGTGATCAGGACAATGTTCGAGCAATGAAGAGTTTGTCTACTAAAATGGTACGAACATGGCGTCGCAAGCGCCGTGGCGGGGTACCGCATTTTCTCAGAAGATCCAGACTTGTGGCCAGGGAGTTCCGCTGGCTTGAAGAAAAGCAAGGATTGTTTTCACCTTCGACCACAACGAACGTGGTCAAGATCATACCGTTGCTCTTCCTGATATGGAGAATCACTAGACCTGGTGTTACCTACGTCATAGCCTTTATCGATGTAAAGGATGCGTACTTGGAAGTGCCACAGGAGGAGCCGGTGATGGCTGGTCTGCCCCAAGACTACATAGGAGCCGGTAAGTTCGTGTTCCTAAAATGTGTGCCTGGTCAGCGTGATGGTGCACAACGTTGGTTCAACCATTATGTCGACTTTCTCAAGTCAAAGATGCCTCTTGAGTCGTGCGTTGAGAACCCTGCGATCATGAGGGTCCCTGAAGGACCAATGCTCATGCATGTTGATGACGGACTTACACTTGGACCGTTGGAATGGCTCAAACAGTCGTACATTCCTACGTTGAAGACGCGGTTCGAGATTTCTGTCGAGATTGCCTACCAGTTGGGTGACACATTTTCTTTTCTAAAGCGCAAGCACACTATTTTGGAATCTGGTATTCTCATAGAGACACCGGAAACCTACATCAGACACATGGCTTCCATCCTTGGTGTTAAACACGGATCAAGTCACAACACGCCATATCTTCCCGAGCTGATTCGCGATGATCAGACAGCTGCCCTTTCTGCTGCTGATGGTTCTAAGTTCAGGAGCGCACTTGGAGTTGCATTGTATTTGTCCAACGACAGGATTGACATTTGCTACACTGTGAGACTTCTTGCAGGATTTATGGCTGGGCCTACGGCATTGGCTATGCGCGGCCTGGTTCGCCTCACAAAGTATCTGATGAACACCTCGAGCTATGCTACTTTGATTGCACCAAAGCGGCCAGGATCTTCAGTGTTTCATGAATCACGTGCGGATGACGAGGAGCACTACATGGAGATCTACTCGGACTCTGGCTGGAGCGGAAACAAGGTTACCCGGAAGTCATTTGGGTGTGCGAGCTTTGCAGTGAACGGTGGAGTCTTTCACCACATATGCCGAACACATCGCACAGTTTCCTTATCTTCCGCGGAGGCAGAATGGTATGCTGGGATATCGTCTTCATGCGAAGGACTGTTCCTGCGAGCTGTTTTTACATTCATGTCACAAGAGAGTTGCAGTTTGCACCTCAAAATGGACAATTCAGCTGCCCGCCAGTTGGCGTTGCGTCAAGGAGTAGGGAACAAGACGAGACACGTTGCAGGTCGCTTGTTATGGCTACAACAAGCTGTTCGTGAAGGTCTCATTACGGTGAGTGCTATCGCCTCGGCATATAACCTCGGAGATCTTTCCACTAAGATGCATGCAGCGAATCGCTTGAAGTGCTTATTGTTTCTGCATGGTGTTGCTGATTGCGACACTGCTCGATCAATCGGCAGTGATGAGTTCGAGGAAATGGTGATGAGAGAATCTGTTAAAGCTCAGGTGAAACGAGTGCGCATCGAGTACGCGAAGGAGCATGGATGCACGCCCCACCTTTCGGGCAATGCAAACAGACTTGCAAAGCAGATTGCGATGATGACCCTTCTGGCTATGCCTTATGGCGTTGAAGCTGCGGATGATGGTGGTGGCCACTTTACGCCACGTGTGACTTCGATGTGGATTGCAGCTTTCGGATGTATGCTTCTGCTGTTGTATCGAGCCTTGAGCTGGTTGCGGAATCAGGGCTGCGACTTCAACATGTTGGTCGAGCTCACAACGGCGGATGTTGGGTCGAGCATGCTTACTGCAGTGCTTGTTGCATTCTCAATGATCCCTGAGATGAGTGCTGAGCAGTGGATGATCGTGCTGCTCATTTACATCATCATGCAGCAGCGCCGTGGACCTGAGTCAAGTGTGAAGCCTTCTGCTGAGCGTACACGCGTGAGTGGTGCTGAGAGTTTTGTGAAGCCGTCTACTGCAAGTAGCTCTGAAAGTGCAAGCGCTGGTATCCCAAGTGAAGTTGTGTACTACTGCTCCGTGAACGGTAATTGCTACCACAAGGAAGGATGCCATGTTCTTCGTACGGTGCATTCGAAGATTCGAAAGTATCGTCCATGTGTATATTGCGCCGATGCGGACCACAAAGGTTAAAGCATCGTGTACTGTTTGAACAAAAGCCGGATGAGCTTTGCATTTTGCTGCAGCTCAGGCGGGGTGAAGACTTTTGACAACATGTACACGCCCCTATTTTCCGGCTAGGTTTTGTAACCACTTGAACCTTTTCCACATGTCATGTGACAGGAGTGCATATGGCATGGAACCGTACCGCAGGCTCTAAGTCTCTGGAAAAGACCGATCGTTTGTTCAGACTCGCAACACCCATCGGGATCTTTTGCGCAAATGTTTCAGAAACACGAAATGGCCTTCGTTATATCATGCAAAGGTTCGTGGCTGGAATTAGGCGAAGAACACGTCTGAAGAGTATCCCTTGGCAATTTTGCTGCCTCACGAATCCTTGCACTCACTGCTCAAAGTGAACACGCCAGAGGCCTTGCTTCAGCAGCAAGCCGAGATCTTGCCTGACAGGCCTGACCTGGAGAACCACTTGCATTTTTTGGAGGATGAGTTGGGCTTGGATTCTGAATCCACTCTCCTCATGGGGATGTGGTGCGATGGTGTGCCTTTCAACAGCGACCGATCCATGACTTTGGAGACGATTTCTTTGAACATCTTTGGCCAGCAGAATCTTCGCCTGGCTGTTGCGGCCTTTCCAAAAGAATTTGTATCCAAATCGCAAACTTTTGAGGATGTATTCGAAATCATCCAGTGGTCCTTTAAGCAGCTGGCGACGGGGAGCATGCCAAGCTGCCGACACGATGGCATGCCCTTCAATCGAACCGATAGTTATCGACAACGTTTGGCAGGCAAAAAGCTTCCACTGAGAGCTGCTCTGGCTGAATTTCGAGCTGATTGGAGCTGTTACAAGGACGTTTTGAGCTTCCCTTCTTGGAGTTCGAAGGGGTTTATCTGTTGGCGGTGTATGTGCCCCCGAGCTGATTTGAAAAAATTTGATACTCAGACTTTCGCCAAGCATCTGGGATTGATAGATTCAAAGTTTTATATCTTTTGGCATACCCTAGCATGATACAGTCGACTTAAGGAGTCAATTAACCGGCTCGAAATATCGCCACCAGGAAAGAATTGTCTTTTAATTTCGACGTGTGAGGCATGCTAGACAGTTGAAGTCGATCGCTTATTCCTGGCAGTTGCCTTTGCCTCAGGTACCCTCTCATTTCCAGCATGGACTTCTTCATGCGCCAGAGGCAGCAGAATAAATTGGTGTCGAGATTATTTTCTTGTCCAGGATTCAATACGGCTTGCTGCAAGATGGACTTTTTACACGCTTGCGACCTCGGAGTAACATCCGACTGGCTTGGGTCTTTGCTGTTTTACTTACAGAGTGAGAAGATCCGAGGCCTGAGCAAACTCATCCGATGTGCCAAGCTGTACTAAGACATCAAGGCATACTACGACAGAACTGGGGTCCAAGATCGATTGCCGAAGCTCCTTCCCACCATGCTTCGTGAAGAGGATCGAGGCAAGATCAAATCCCCCAAGTTGAGAGCCAAAGCAGGGGAAGCTCGAGCACTCGTCGGTGCTGCCATGGAATTGGCTACAAAGTATTTGTCGCCAGCAAAGCCTGCTGAACAGGCGATGTTGCATGGCACAGAAGCTTTGCAGTCCATATATGCCTGTCTCAGCACTGCAGCTTGGGACAAGGAAGTCTTCAGAGTTTCTTCTCAGAAGTTTCTTTTACTCTGGGGCAGCCTCGAGACTTACTTCGAAGTGGACAAGCTCTTCAGGGTTAAACCTAAAGCCCATCAGCTGTTCGAATTGGCCAGGGGCGAGGTGAACCCTAGCAAGACCTGGACCTACAGGGATGAGAGCTATGGGCATACCCTAGCATTGCTGGGCAGACGGCGTGGTGGCAAGTTTTCGATGAATGCTGTTTCTTGTCAAGTTCTCAGACGATTCCTGGCAGCTAATAAAGTTCCTCGAATCGAGATCGGCACGTGATCCTTGGGAGGAAAAAACACGTGCAGTCGATCGTCCGCATGCATGTATATAATTGGGATGCATATACAGAAAATAACATTTCTTAATTAAGCATTGTTTTTGTCATTTACATACCATGCTTAAATAGACACTATAGTGTTTAATCAAGATGATTAAAGATATCTAAAAATTATTTAAGCATCTTTGGAAGCTCTGGTATAAGGTTTTCCTTTGCAGTGGCAGGTTGGAGTACGCCTCCGGAATGCCTAGAACCGGAGTGTTTTGGCTTTACACCATCCGCATGTGAATCCAAGTAACTTCACGCACCCACGGCTGTACCAGAGCCGCTTTCGAATCTACTTGCCGTTGTTTGAGGAGGCGCTCGGCTAGAGGCCTGCCGCGGAGCTGAGCTGGAACGTGCAGCTCTGCTAGCAGCGCTGGCGCGCGTCCGTGGACCCGGCAGAGCGGCTACGATCTTTAGCGGCGCTGGCCGTCTGGCTGCCGGGGCCCAAACGAATCAATCTGTAAGCGTTTTTTTCTGATGGCGCGCCATACAGTGGAAGGCCGCCTGGCCGGAGATCCTCCGGAGGACCTGTTGATGTGCCGATGTCCCCCTGTGTCGAATTCGAGCCCGACACCTTGAGTGACGGGCTCCACCTTGAAGACTGGATTGCTGCGGCCCGACAATTTTGGGCGCAGAGAGGGCTCTCACCGAGGTGTTTCTTTACAAAGGCGCAGCTCGCAGGACGCCAGGAACGAGGCTCTGCTACCAGGCCGTTGCGAGCTCAACCATTCGCTGTTAGATGGCCTGGTTTGGCGCGACGTCTGTGTTTTCCTATCGAGAGATTGAATGCACTGCCATTACGCGCTCACGCTCGCCTTTTGCAGCCATTGCACGGTGAGGCGTGGCCTTTAGCCGCCCGAACTAAGTGAGACCCACACTGGTGGGAAGCTGGGCACTGGAGCGGATGTTGAGCGTACCGGGTCTAGAGTCTAGAGCTGCTCGAAGCGTGCGCTGCCCTTGCGAGGCCCACGATGTGGGAAGCTGGACCTAGGGACTCTTTTGGATGCGAAGAACCTGCCAGTGGCTTGCCCCATTGACCTTCCTTGGGATTGGCACTCTCCCTGTTGCTGTGGCTGTCCATTACTGACATTGCGACACCAGCGCTTTGGGAAGACTTGTTTGCCCTTGCGAGACCCACAGTGAGGGAAGCTGGGCACGGGACCTCATTGACTCATTGTGGTTGCGCACTGGGATTCGCCTTTGGATCGCATTCCTGCCGCTTTATGGACTGGTCATGGTGTTCTGCCGTTTTTGTCCTTCCTCTTTTGCCCTTGCGAGACCCTCTGTTGGTAAGCTGGGCAATTGAACTTGGCGTTGCACTGCTCACGGAAACTGTGGCCTCTCGTTGCCCACTTTGGGGAAGCTGGGCTTGGGAGCTTTTGTGGGTGCGCATCTGCAATAGCATGTGCCGTTGACCTTCCTTGCGGGATCGGCCTTGTGTCTGCCATCATGGCTTTCGCTTGCCATCGCAACACCTACTCTCTTTGGAAGCGGCTGGGGTATTCGGCTCTCTGCCTTTGGCCATGGCGGGCGTCCGTTTCCGTGCGACCTAATATCCATGGAAACTTGTCGACATGCGTGCCGTTGCGCGACCCAGGCGAACTGGGTAGCGGGGCATCTGAGCGGTCGCGTCTGCTGGGTGCCGGATGTTTTGGCTGAACGACGTCTGCCGGCTAAGTCTGCTAGTCGCAGCCTGTCTCACCTTTCTCGCTAGTCTTCGTCAGTTTATTGACTTTATTGTAGTTCTTGTTGGGACCGAGTGCAGCAACTGCTGTCTTTGAGGCCCGCCCACGCCAAAAAAGAAGCCCTGCAAATCCTTGGGCGAGGTGGATCGTGCCCTTACTCGTTCTGGCAACATTCTCTCCCGGATCATTGCGAGGAATGGGACGATATTCTCGGTAGTTATGAGCCTGCCAGGTGCGGCGGAGTGCCGCATACCAGGGACCGACGAAATCCTCCAGCACTTGTTGCGAACGGGAGACTCAGCAGCAGGGCTAGATGGGTGCCCGTATGAGTGTTACCGCAGCATACCGGTTGAGTCCACGGCGCTTGAATGACAGGCCCTCACCTTTATCCTAAAGCGGACTCAGGCCACTTTGCTGATAACTTTAAGCCGCTTGACATGTCTGATACTGCTGCTCGTATCATAGATTCTGTCTTTTCTAGTCTAACTGAATGCATACCATCTGCCCGCTTCTGCAGCAGTCCCAGGCCAGGATGCGTTATGGGCGCAGGACTCTGACGTTGTCCTGTTGACGGACATGGCAAAAGCCGTGGCTCCTAGATGTCCTTCGACGGGTAGCGGCTCCCCACTGAGCAATGCAGTGCTGTTAGAGGCAGTGGACTGGTCTGCAAGGATATGCCCATAACGAGGCCCCAAAACGGGAACCCACGTGCGTGCCCTAAGCTTACCCCTCGTGTGCGCAGCTCTGTCCTTGTCGACAGCACAGCCTCTTCCGTGTCTTTCAAGCTGAGGTGTGCTGTGGCGGACGCTTGGACGGCATTGGCAAAGGCTTTCCAAACTCCAGTGCATCAGCACTCACGTTGCTAAGTGCCTTGAAAGCTGCAAGCATGCGGTCGTTCGCTTGCGTTTCCACAACAAACGCAGCGTCGCAACATGGAACCACAAGCTGCACAACTTACGAGCGATGGAACGTGCAGAAACAAACACTACTGTCTCACCACCTTTGCTGTGGCTCAAGCTCGTGCTCGAAAAAATGCTGCTTGCTTGGCGCCCACCCCTCCGAGTTCCAGTTTTGCTAAACTGGGCCCATGATAAACCTCTTTGCAGATCCTACTCTTAAACCTTCCTTACATTTCTCCCTAAACCCTCCCTGCATCTTCTGCTTGCCTGGACTCGTACAAGTTTAGTTCACTCTTCGTTTGTTGTTGCTTTATTGTAGTTCTTACTGGGACGAGCGCAACAACCGCTGTCTACGAGGCCCGTCCACGCCAAATTTTTTTTGCAACCTGTCCAGCTGAAAGTCACATCCAGTTGAATTCCACTCCAGGTCAAAGTTCGGATTGAACCTCAACCAAACCTAAGGTTAGGATTGGAGTTAACCCCAACTTTTTGATTTTTTTGTGAAGATGAGGTTCAGCTCTAGTTCCAATCCAGGTTCGGGTACTTGTGACGTCAAAGTTTGAACTCAATTTTTCATTTTCTAAAACATTGGCAACTTCACACTTGAAAATCTATAAATTCAAAGTTCGAATTGAAATTTCTTAGTTTATGATTGCGTTTTGTTTCATTGATTCTTTTTTTAATCATTTTGTGTTCTTCGCAAAAACCACCATAAGGCGATTTCGTGTGACTTCTTCTTCTTTTGTGTTTGCGATTGAGTTTGTTTCATTAGTTCTTCTTTTCTCATGTATTTTCTTCGCAAAAACAACCATAAAGCGAATTCGCGTGGCTTCTTCTTCTTCTTTTGTCTTCGTGATCTTTAGTTTTGTGTGTGTGTGTGTGATTGCGTTTTGTTTCGTTAATTCTTCTTCTCTCATTTTATTTTGTTCGCAAAATCTCCACAAAGCGATTTCGTGTGGCTTCTTGTTTTCTTGTGTTCGTGATTGTGTTTTGTTTGAGTTTGTGGTTCTAGTTTTGTTTGGTGTGGCTTCTTCTTCTTTTGTGTTTGTGTTATCCTGCTGTACATGCGATGGTTTGCAATCATGAAGGTTTTTCATGCATCTCTATTTTCTTTTTTCGCTTTCTCCTTTTTGCATGATGCAGGGGGGCACGGCGTCAGATTCCAGACCGTGCCTAACAAAGCTACGGAATCTGACGGGAAGCAAGGGCTGATCACCCTTGTGTACCTGCAAAAAGCTGGGCCCCTGAGCCAGCAAGATTAGTGAAACAATTGGCTTTCGCCTTTTCCAGGCAGGTTTTAGGTTTGCTCATTGATTTCTTTTACCTGGCTTGCAACATGTGCGATGTGCAGTCTTGCAGCAGTCATGTCGACGCACAGTTGTCACCCACAGAAGGCAGGCGGGTCAGTGGAAGCCTTTCCAGTTGTGTTCGACAAGAGCTCCCTCATGAGGGCCTTGTCGCTTTTCGGCGAAGTGCCGGCCCACCGGGGTGCTTGTGTTAGCAGGTCTGGAAATCAGGTAGGATTCGCGACACGTGTTCAAGTGGAGATCACAATCCGGAGATCAGCCTTTCGGAAATCACAGCGGAGATCATAGTGGAGATCATAGTGGAGATCACTTGTACAAAGTTGCCATGGATCGTGAACGAAGCCCCGTCGCAATCCCTATTGGAGCTCCTCCACTCCAGCTGTGGTTCCACCTCCTCCTGCGAGTTGGCAAAATCCCGTGCCCCCTCCGGCTCTACCCATGGCCCGCCCGACGGTGCTTCAGCCGCAGAATCTCACGTGGCAGCCCAATCCCCGTGCTGCACAGATTATGAACATTTCGCCAACCCCTCGCATTCCAGGGCTGCCATCCCAACCTGATGCCAAGCCTCCTAAAGTCTTCGGACCTATGCTACCCGCTGAGTTCTGTCAGAATCCGAATTATTTGGATTCACGCTCTATTGCAGGCTTGAACCTGGCTCGTTGGGTTAAGAAGACTGAATGGTCGGTTCGAAAGCAGATTGACGGATGCCCAACACACATGGTACCGCTCCATTCATTGCTTTATCAAGGTTGGAATTCATATTGGATTCGTTATATTGCAGAAGGAAAGCCGACTTTCTTTGCAGGCTTCCGATCGATTGCTGAGATTGTATTCTGTCATGCATTGTTCGGAAAATTGCGAGATGAAGAAGTCGACTTGGATGAGCTTGCTTCCATCGTGCAGGGTACCAGTGATGCTGCTTCGAAGAGTGGTGCTTCGGACTCGAAAGCGCAGGCCACACATCTGTTGGCACAGAAGGTTGTTGACTGTGACCAAGAGAGATGTCCGGGCACTGCGACGGGCTCAGCGGGAAGCTACGATGGAGTTCAATGCGGTGAAAGCAGCC